GTTTGCCGTCGATGGGCAGATGGGTTAGGATGGCGACAACTTTTAGCGTGATGGTGGCCTCTCCTTCTCTAAAGTTGAAACAATGGGTCTCCTTTCTCCATCTCTCGGCTAATGCGGTGATGAGTTGACAATCGATTTGGATGCCGTTAAAATGCCTAATCGAGTCTAACCGTGCCCGTTTGAGAAATGGCAAGATAGCGGGGTGGAATGGGAGCACATTTGTGGTACCCCTGTAGCGGATTATTGTTTGTGCCTCCTAGGAAAAATGTACACGTTAATTATTATATAAGTAAGGGGTTTTTTTCGTATAACTAAATTAATTTAATTAAATTATGCGACATAAAACATAATTTTATTATCATAAAAAGACATTTCATATTATCATAAAACATTGTCAATGAATAATAATTTAAAGAGGTACATACATATTATCGTAAAGCAAACATACTGAATTAATTAACATAAATAACATCGTTAATGAATAATAATTTAAGTAGAAACATACATATTCAAATGTTTGGTAAATAATTTAATCGTATTAGTTGTTTTAAATAATTTAATCGAATACAAAGCAACACTCGTTAGACTCTTAGAAGAGGTATACATCTTCTTAGAAACGCTGTCTTTTTGACAGAAAAAGGGGGGATCCGAGGATCTCTTAATACCCGATTTTCCCAGGTAATGGGAGGATATGATAATCGCTTAAAACACCATTTCCTTAGACGTGCATCTCTTTATAAAGAGTCGAAGTAAGTGGCGCTATGTATTCGATTAAATTATTGAAAACCACCAACACGATTAAAAAATAAACATAAATTTATTTTATATTACACTAGGCACATTAACAAAATAAAAGAAGGACAAATGGTGAAGAATTGTATGTACCGGGTGATCGTTCCAAATATCCCTTGACCGATGGTTGGGTTGGTCGTACAAGTCGGTTGGATCCACCGGTCCTTGCTCGAGATAATACCTTTGGTTGTATATATCGACGTCCTCCCCAACCTACGAGAAAATAACTAGGTTAGTACATAGTTTAATTAAAAAACTTATAACAACAATAAAAATTAAACCAGAATGATGAGTACATACCGCTTGAAATTCATCGACATAAACTCCTTCTCCTTGCCACCAATCGGCCATTTTTTCGGCGTAATTCGGACAGAGCTTCGGCTCGGCTCGGCGGGTTTTTTAGGAAAAAACCTAAGAAATATTTTCTGATGGCAGATCGGACTTAGCCGCAACCAACAAACTTTTATTTCCTAGGCTTTTGGGAGGGGAGGGTTTAGAGAGATGAATTTCTAGAGAGAGAAGGAAGAAAGGGTTGTGTGGAGTGAAGAAACTCGAGGGGGAAGGGGGGTATTTATACCCAACAGATCGCACCCCTCAGGGGCGGTAGGGTAATTTTACCCCGTCTAAATCGCATCTCCCCAGTGCGATCTCAGCGCCAAATCGCACTGCCCTGATGCGATCTCCGCGTCCCGAGGCGTTGAACGCTCGGTAAACGGACGCTCCACTTTTCCAGGCGAGAAATCGCACCTCGCCAGTGCGATCCAAAATAATCCGCGCGGATTGCTGACGTGGCTATGCTCCAGCCCGTTAGATCGCATCTCAATCGTGCGATCCGGAAGGTCGCTGGCGACCAAATATGGAACGCATCTTGGGGATGCGTTTTACATTAGAAATCGCATCTTAGGGGTGCGATTTATGATGAAAACGCACCTCTAAGGTGCGTTCCATTAAAATAGGTGCTAGTTTTGTAAGTATTTTTGGAAGGGTGCTAGTTTTGTAATTTTTTTTTTTTAAAGGGTGCTATTATTGGAAAAATCTCCAAGATTCTAGTCTTCTTTTTTTGCTATTAGTTTTGTCTTACTAGGTTTATGGCTTTATGCGTTTGATGAGTGGTGTTTTTTCATTAGTTGGTACTTTTTTTATTATCTATTATTGGTTTTTAAAGGTCTCGTCGTTTTACTTCTTTTACATTTGCCTATTTTCATATGATATGGGGATTAATACATGGGTAGTTTGATTTTGGTAATAATTTGGTTGAGATTGTTACCATACTTGTATTGTTCACAATGTATTATATTTTTGAATTTTCTGCACATATAATATAAGATTGTTTGTTTGATGTGACACAAACTACCACTCAAATGAGGAACATCGTTAAAACCAAATTATTACTGGTTTACCTTATTTTCTGCACATATAATATAAGATTGTCAAAACCAAACCGTTATATGAACCAATATAGTGAACGGTTCGCACTTTACTGGTTTACCTGGTGTTAGACCATTAACAAAACGGTAGCTAATAAACAAGAATATTAAGTACAATTTGAAAAATATAAACATATAATGTGATAAATTGAAAGTTTGATGACTAATTTAACTTATGTTTTAACATTGAGTACTATAAAGCAATTTTCCTTTAGGGATAATATATTTGTCTGGCCATACTTTTCACAAATTTAACATCCTGGCCAATCCTTTAGGTAATTAACATCGTGGCCTGAACTAATCGTATACTTTACTAATTTGGCCAAACCCGAGAGTTGACCGTTAATTCTAACGGTCAAGCCCTTTAACTAACGATCAACCCGCCATGTCAACGCCAACTCAGCGTCTTTTAACATAAAATAGTCATATTTTCCACATAATCCCATTTAACTTTGTATTCTAACCGAAATTAAAAAAATAATAAAAAAACTAAAATTCTATCTTTCTTAGAGCAGAAGAGAATGCAAGGAAAATGAAACAAGAGAAGGCTGCTATGTTAGAAGACTTCACCAAGGTTTCAGAATTGAGTGCAACAAGTTGTCTCGAATTGCGAAAGATGAGGCATTGATTTGTCCCCTTCAAATGAGGATGACATTCTGCTTCTTCGGTGTACTCTTCTTAGTCGTGATTGTGCTTGTGTTTTCATTATTTATTATGTAGCACTATCTGTTTGTCATTGAAGTGCACCCTTGGAGGTTGACACTCTGCTGCTTTTGTGTACTCTTGCAGGAATTATTGTGTTTGTAATGGGTTATGGATGTTTGAACGATTTTAACAAAGTTAGCAGTCAATGTCCTAACAAATTCATATATCACCATCCAATATAAAACACGTCCTAGCATGTACAAAAGAGGATCATTCCTGCTAACAAGCTACCATAGTGTCGAAATAGGACAACCTAATAGAAAAGGAATGTGTGCTCTAAACTTCAGAGTTTTATGATCGCAATTGGGATCATAAAACAGGCTCTTGTCAACACTTGCAGCACCTTCATCTTCGGCTATGTTCCCTCTAACATGAGCAGAATCTTCCGAGCCCTTGTACTCTATCTCAATCGATCCTTCAACATTCACTTCTTCATCTACATTCCTTTGAACCTCATTGCCATCCAACTCCACAGTCTTACTAGCCTCGCCAACTCTAACAGTAGCACTATCTTCATCACTTTCAAATAACTGGTCTACCTCATCTCTAGAACCATCAAACTCGGGTCTAAATGCTTGCCTCTTTCTTCCAACCTCGGCTCTAATTGTATGATACTCCTCGTCTGATGTCTGAGCATCCTCATCTTCATCAAAGCGCACAAATTCAAGTACCCTTGAATTCTGTCCAGAATCACTCGAGCCTTCAGGATCATGCCCATAATTGTCTCCCATAAAACCCAGCTCGCCACGATCCTTGGTTGCCTAAGGTAAACCCGTACCTCTCCATTGGCAGCCACTGGAAGCAATCCATTTACAACCTCTACATTCGATAAGATCTCGTGTAACCCGGTAGCCATGAGGTCAAGTACCAAATTCTCTCAACCGAGAGATACTCCAAATCTTCAATCAAAGTCTTTGTCAACTCGAAATAGGACAACACATCATCATGAACTTTCACAAAGTCAACAGTTCCCCCAATGTATCGTGGTACATTTGTTGACATATCCATAGCAATGCCATGATCGAAAATAAGATCAATCTTGTCGTCCATCCTACCAAAGACAAACACAAGTCCATTACTTTAATCCTTACTTCACTCACTGAACCCTAAAAAGACAAATCAGGAGTGTAATTTAATCCCAATTTCACCAAGTGAATGCTAAAAACCATGTCGAAAGCATTACTTTAATACCAAAACCCTAATCTTTGTCTACATGCTGGATTAAATTATAAAAGAAGGGAAGAGAAAGGTATTGCTTACGTTGGTGCTGCCAACACGATCTTGGCGTTGTGGTCCCTTACTTGTGTGGCCCCGTCGTCGTCGCTTTCACCCATTTTTTTCAATCGACAGAAGCAAGAACTGGGGGTGATAGCGACAACTCAAAATCTTCAAATGGGTTCGGGGAGTAAAAGAGAACTGGATCAGAGTTTGAGGAGGGGACGAAATCGACAGCGACGACGGCTTTACTCGACCGGCCGCCGCTGCGACTTCATTGCCGGATGGAGGAAATGGGTTCGTCGTAGGGGAAGGTGTTTGAAAATAAGTGGCTGGGGTGAAATGGTAGGGAATAGAAATGGTCCCGATAGCTCTCTTTTAGTTTTTTTTTTATTTTTGTTAAAATAAAAAGTTAAATAAGATTATGTGGAAAATCTTATTATTTTAAGTTAAAAGACGTTGAGTTGCCGATGACGTGGCGGTTGATCGTTAGTCAACTCTCGGGTTTTGCCAAATGAGTAAAGTATATGATTAGTTTAGGAGACGATGTTAATTACCTAAAGGATTGGCCAGGATGTTAAATTTGTGAAAAGTTCTAGACAAATATATTAACCCCTGCCTTTAATATATATATTTAGAAAGAAACCCTAATACCTCAACCCCACCCCTTCATCTTTCTCCGCCGCTTTCCACTTTTCACAGAAGAAAAATCTATTTCTCTCCCACCCTTCCCCTCTACCTCTCCCTCACGTACCCAAATCTTCCCTCTCTAACTCAAACTCTCACTTCTCTCTCTCACAATCTCACGATCCCTTTCCTTCTCTCGATCTCGCTCTTCCAATTATCAAACCCTCTCTTTCACGCTCTCTCTCTCTCTCTCTCCATCCCTCCTCTTTCTATTTCAATTTTGAGTTTTCAAATTTTAAGTCGAGAATCCTAACCACAGGGCGACAACGCGGCCAGATTCATTTTTATTCGGCTGGTGGAATGGTGAAAACCGTTGGGACGATTTGAACGACTCGAGCGGTTAACCGTTCAAACCGTTCACCAACCGACCAGTTCACCCATTGCGCCTTTTTGACTGTTTCGAGTTGGGCTGATGGTTGGGTCCTGCTTTACCGGTACGAACGACCGGATTGACTCGGTTTTAACAACACTGTTAATGAGTTTGTTTGGTTGAAATTATTGTTTTTATTTTCGTTCCAACTATACTCCTAACTTTTTGTATTTGTTACTAAAAGATGAGTTGTATCTCGTTTTTCATTTTCTTGTACATATTATTTTGGGCTTGAGACTTATTGGTGATTGGGCTTTATTTGTGACCCATGCAGGCATGGAGAGGATTGGCCGAGTGAGTCACGCCTCTCTCCTAGGATTCGGATGTAGGAGGGTGTTTATATAGGTCTTTGCTGTAACAATGGCGGCTAAGAGAGACAGTTCTGAATAGTGGATTTGAGCTCGAAGAGTCGCAACTCTTATGTGGATTAGTCTTGGTTCCAAGAATACCATGTAAATCGGTTTGCCTATTTGTTCCTTTTCGTTATCTGTGATTGTCTTTTATGGTATCATAGTCTACTACAATGGAACCCGAGAAACTGTATGTTCACCTCACTTCCACCAACTATGCATTGCGGGATTTTTAGTTCAGAGTTTTTGTCCAGGGTCGTGGTCTCTTTGTAGTACTTGATGGAACAATTCGAAACCATCCGAAACAGCCGCCGCTCATGTTATATCTTAGTGGAATCATAATGATGCGAGAATAAGATCTTGGCTACTTTGATCAGTCGATGCTTCGACCTGTTTAAGCCTTCGTTTGTTTTCGACGACTAATCACATGTGGAAGCATCTAGGTTCTACATATTCGATCGTGAGCACAGTACGACAATTTGAGATTCAACTTTTATTGGCCCGCTTGGAACAAGCTTATCGCTCCATTACTGCATACTTTAACCTTACTCAAGAGCTCTGGACTGAGCAAGACCTTGTTACAGCAGCCCTTCGCCCTCAAACTGTCATCGAAGAAGCTTTGTAGGAGAGGCAATATACTCACCTCCTTCACTTCCTAGTGAGATTATGACCAGAATTTGAATTTGTTCGATCGTTTTTGTTAAACAAGGATACACTGAGTTTTGATGGGATTTTACGCTTAGAAGAGACCAGGCTGCGAACTCAGTCCCAGCTTGATATTCGTACGGGAGAAGGGGAGGTCGTGATCGTCGCTTCTGCTACTGATTCATCTGCCTATACGGTAAATCAACCTCAATTTCAATAGTGTATTCCTGTTTATGAACTTATTTGTCACCATTGTAGTGAGAAGGGTCATCTATAGAAACATTGTCGACGTCGTAACTACTGTGTTTATTGTAAACGTCCTGGACATATTATCTTGGACTGCCAGAGTAGACAACACAATGAAGTGAGGTATGGTTCTAGTTCTGGTGGGTCGTGGCTTGTTGAAGGCTCGCTCGCTGCCGGAAGCAATGGCAACATGGCTGGAAAGAATTGGAACTCAGGTTCATCAGCTGTTGGGGCGCGTGGTGGTAATCACCCAGCTCGGTCGGACTTCGTTAATATTACACCTGTTGTTGCTGGTGCCAACAGTAGCTTTAACTTGTCCGCAGCTGCAGTAGAGGATTTGGTTAATGCGGCTCTTCAAAAATCACTTCTTACAGATATCAGTGCCACATGTGCAACACTTTAGGGCTCAGGTAAGACCTCTCCTTGGCTTTTAGAATCCACGTGCTTCAATCATATGATGTATAACAAAGTCAACCATAAGAATTGGGTGTCCGCTAACAATATTGCTCTTCAAGTGGCCAATGGTGAGAAATTGGTCGTGAATGGGATTGGTTCTGTAGAGGATTCAAAGCTATCTTTATATCAGACTTTGCATATTTCTGAGCTTGTTCCTAACCTAGTTTTAGTCGAACAACTTACTAAAACAGGTTGTTATGTGTTTTTTGCACCTTCTGGTTGTGTCATATAGGATTTGAAGACATGGAGGAAGATCGGAAGGGGGAGTAAACGAGGGAGAGTCTTTCACCTGGAGGAGCTTCATCATCATTCAGGCTCGTCTGTAGGTCTCTATTGCCTAGTAGTTCTTCGCCTTTCAGTTTTTCGAGACAGTCTGACAATTTGTGTAGTCTTTGGCATTCGCTGTTAGGTCACCCTAATAATGATCATCTTGCAATGATGTTTACACAGTCTTTGCTCGGAAAAAATACTATTGGTTTTCCTTCCAAACATTAGTATACTAGTTGTGTTTACGCTAAAACAGTTAGTTCTTCTTTTCCCTTGAGTACCACTATCATTAGTGAGCCCTTTCATATCATTCACTCTAATCTCTGGGGTCCTGCATCTGTTACTTCTCTATGTGGCTATCGTTGTTTTGTTTTTTTATTGACCATGCCACCTGTTTTACCTGGATTTATTTCCTTTGTTTGAAGTCCGAGCTTCGTTCTGTGGCTATTGAGTTTTTAAAAATGATTCAGACTCAGTTTGGTCGTCTAGTAAAAATTGTTCGGTCTGTTCTTAGGGGTGAGTTTAGCTCTATTCCTCTACATGATGTCTATCGTTCCATTGTGTTCTAAGCCAAATGTCATCTCCCGTCGTTTCACAACAAAAGGGTCTTGTGGAACGAAAGAATCGTCATGTCGCTGAACTTACGTGTGCTCTTCTTCTTGGCTCTCATGTTCCTGGCCGTTTTTGGCCCGAGGCTGCATCTTGCTTGACCAATTATCAAATCACTTCTGTTCTGCGTTATTCAAGTCCCTATTTTGCTCTCTATTCTCGAAATCATGATTATTCGCGTCTTAGAGTCTTTGGGTGTCTCTGCTTTGTTCTTCTTCCAAAGCGTGAGCATACTAAGTTGCCATGTAAGACTGCTAGGTGTGTTTTCTTGGGGTACAGTGATGTGCATAAGGGATACTTGTGTTATGATCCTACCTTACACCGTATGCGCATTGCTATCACAGTCGTGTTTTTTGAGCATCTCATGTATTTTTCCTCTAAGTCCACCACCGATCCCTTCCCATTTCCTGATACGTCGTTACCGATGTTTGCTGATGTCGATGGTGATTCTCTCACTCTCCCTCCTAGAGAACCGCACACTCCCACACTCCATCATAATCTCCCTCCCATTGACTCCCCTTCACCAGTCACGGCTAGCTCACCCAGCTTAACGTCTTCCACCTCTAGTTCATCAAAGTCGTCTTCTTCATCACCTGATCGTTCCCCATCACCATCCCTGGATGATCCTCCACCTCCTCGTCGTTCCCTTCGTACGACACAAGGTATCCCACCTCTTCATTTCCAGGACTATGCAGGTTACAACGTAGAATCTTTGGTTGTGCCCACTTTCTATAACCAAGCTAAGGGCGACCCAAAGTGGGAACAAGCAATGATTCGGGAACTTGCGGCTCTTCATGAGAATAACACCTGGACATTAGTCCCTTGTCCTCCACATTTGACTTTAGTGGTTGGCTGTCGGTGGGTGTACACCATTAAGAGGAACCCCGATGGTATAGTAGATCGCTACAAGGCTCTCCTGGTTGCACAAGGTTTTATACAAGAGTTGGGCGTTGACTATAATGAAACCTTTGCGCCGGTCGTGAAGATGTCTACTGTTTGTACTTTACTTGCAGTCGCTGCTCAGCAGGACTGGCCAGTTTATCATATGGACATTAAGAATGCTTTTCTCTATGGGGACTTGGAAGAAGACATATATATGGAGCTTCCTCTGGGTTAAACTTTGGGTACTTCTGATCAGGTATGCAAACTTCAGAGATCTTTGTACGGTCTTAAACAAGCACCCAGAGCATGATTTGAGAAGTTTCAGTATACTATTACTGGTTTGGGATTTCAGTATCCGTCCTTGTTTACTCGTTCTAATTCTGACGGGATTGTTGCACTATTAATGTATGTTGATAATATGATCATCACAGGGACTTATTCTTATGGCATTCAGTGTCTTAAGGATGGCCTCCATGCTTCCTTCAGTTAAACCGACCTCGGTGATCTCTCTTATTTTCTTGATCTCGAGGTTCTTCGTAGTTCTTGAGGTATTTTGCTCAGTCATCGTAAGTATATCTCTGATCTACTCGAGGATCATCATTTTACCGATTGTAAACCAGTTTCTAATCTAATGGAACTTAATCTTCCTCTTGGTCGTGATTATGGTGAGCAGCCTGTTGACGGATCTTCCTATTGGAATATTGTGGGTAGTCTGATTTATCTGTCTGCTACCCGGCCTGACATATTTTATCTTGTTCAGCTGGTTATTCAGTTTATGTCAGCTCTGCGTACTGATCATCTTGCTGCATTTCATCATATTCTCTGATTCTAACTTTGCTGGTTGTGTGATAATCGTCGTTCTACTTCTGGTTGGTGTGTTCAGTATGGGGGTAGCGTTTATTTCCTGGCGGTGCAAGAAGCAAGACAACGTCTCTAAATCGTCTACTGAGGAGTATCGCTCCATGTCTCATGTTGCCTCTAAGCTTGTCTAGCTTCGTCGACTCTAGGCCGATTTTGGCATTGTATGTCTGATTCCTATGGAACTTTTTGTTGATAACACGAGCTCTATCCGTATTGTCGTTAATCCTATCTTACATGATCGTACTAAGCATACTGAGATTCACATCCATTGCATCAGAGATTTGGTTCATGATGGCGAGATCACTTTGCATTACCTTCGCACAGAAGAGCAGGTTGCGGATATCCTGACGAAAGCTTTTCCCTCGAGTCGTCATTGGTACTTGTCAAGCAAATTGATGCTATCTGCTCTGCATCAATTTGAGGGAGGATGTTAGATGAGTTGTATCTTGTTTTTCATTTTCTTGTACATATTATTTTGGGCTTGAGACTTGTTGGTGATTGGGCTTTATTTTTGACCCATGCAACCCATGTATGGAGAGGATTGGCCGAGTGAGTCACGTTTCTCTCCTAGGGTTCCGCTGTAGGAGGGTGTTTATATAGATCTTTGCTGTAATAATGGTGGCTAAGAGAGACACCTCTGAATAGTGAATTTGAGCTCGAAGAGTCCTAACTCTATCTTGGATTAGTTCTTGAATTCCAGGGATACCACGTAAATTGGTTTGTCTGTGTGTTTCCTTTCCGTTATTAGTGATCGTCTTTCAGTTACTTTCTTATATTTGACAACAAAGGTTAAAAGTTATACTTCATCGTAAAAGTAATATACTTTATTCTATAATAACTATCACAAAGACTAAACAATCTAAATTACAATATACCAATATCCTTAATTACATGTATAGTATTTTACATGTATAGTTTGCAATGCATCGATTTTTAACTATCACCAAAATCAAATAAATTAAGTGTGTGCTTGACCACGAT